CCCATATATATATATATATATATATATATATATATTCACTATTGAATGATACTAATGAATAATTCACTACTTATTCACTACTTAGCACCATACTATTCTATTGTTATTTGTTATTGTTATGTCGTATATTGTATGATTATACAATCATGCCAATAAAGTACTTTTTCAGCTGAAATTGAAAACGGCCTAGAGAGTCCTAGACATTGTCACAATAATTTTTTTTTTTAAATCATACAAAATACATTTTTTGTTGTATTGTTAGAATTCTAAAACGAGAGTGATGAGTCAAACAAAACAAACTTAAACATTTTATCAAAACTAGTAACAATGGATATTTGGACGACACTGGGAAAACGAAAGTAAAGGCTAACTGAGAATTTAAAAAGGCACAGACTGCCATAGCAATAATACTTCAAAACAAAATCATTCCACATTTTCACATGTAGAAAATATATGCATGGATAGATGGTCTTGTTTGATATATACTGCACCGTAATATATACCGAATATAGTCCATTTAAAATAAAAATTAAGCCATTCTTTAAAAAAAAAAAAAAAAAAAACGTTCATAGGACTGATGCCATACATAACTGGTAACAATTCTGTAACCATATTAATATTCATGTTCTCGTTTTATTGCACAAATAATGCCTTTCTTTTGTGTTTTTGTGTAACGTGGTGGGCGGGGACATACACATAGCGCCCTCTGTTGTTTGACTTCTGGCATAATTTAATACATACGTTGTTTGATACATACTGTAACTCCTATGAAAACAGTCAAACACAAATTCTTTTATTTAGAAAATAAAGTTTTATTAGTAACAGGTTTCAAAAATGATGAAATTCTGATTCTACCATGAAATGCATAAAATAAAAAGCGGTCTGAAAACTATTTTACAGTGGATTTTAGTCAGTTAAACTATAATGTAGGCTGCATTAAGCTTATTTTGTTAATGCATTAACTAATGTTAAAATAATAGAACTAAATTATATGGATATTTACTCTTGAATTGAAAAGTAAAAAAGTGAAGGCATTTTACTAGAGCGAGACGCTGCTTTATGTCTCTCGCTCACAGTGAAGATCAGTGAAGGCTTTGCTATGTGGGTGTCGGATGGGGTTCAGGTCAGCTTCTCGCGGGTCGCTCACAGAGGGATGCCAAGTCCCCTCCCTGGCTGTGGTGCATTGGATCCGGCTGAGCAGGACTCAAGAGTGGATGGATAAATAAAAACTTTGAGTTTGGGGGACCAGGGAGGAGGTGTGGCACACTGATCAAATAAAAAACAGTGTGCCTGCCCCAGGGGTAAAGGATGGGACAGGGGTTGGTGGTGGTCTAGTTTTTTGTGAACTACTAACTGGACCATCACCTTTTTCAGAGTGATTTACAAAAGGAAGCAATAATAACAAATAATACCATCAATAATCCAAAACAAACAAACAAAAACAAAACAACAAAAAAATTTAAATATTGTTGGTGTTGATTGGTTTCATAGTGATTTTCACAGGGAGGCAGGGCCTATCCAAAAGGATTTGTTTTAATACAATTGAAAGTATACTTGCCAAGGCAAGTGGCCTGTTATTTTCCATATTAGCTATTTTACCGGTCTCATCTTTAATAAAATAACAGAAAAATAAAAGATAACAGAATCAGGTAATACACCATGCATAGGAGATCAGAGAAGCACACAGCAAGTAATACTAAAATTCTTTGTCTAGAATGAATGTTCTGCCGTTATTTTTGTATATTTGTTGTGTCCGGACTGCTTGTGAATTAGTAACAGAGACCATTTTGAAAATCAGATATTGAATGAGTTTAATGTAAATACACTCTTTCTGTTAATAATGATTTCACATGTATTACGCCTTGCCAAGAACTGGTGAGAGCACATAGTGGAGATTCATTTCAGACAAGTGCTGCTAACACTATAAAAAACTAACACACTAATTCAGGTGGCCTAATTTCCAAAACAGTTCATGCAATTCTTGAAACAAAGATGCATTTAAAATAATTAACTTTTTTTTTACACACACATTTCAGTTTTGTTCCATGTTCTCTGCAATACTCAATAGTTTAATCATGTTCTCATTCAGAACACACAATCACATAATAAATTAACTCAAGCATAACAATCTGTGTGTGTGTCATTATAAAATACTATTTAAAATTGTGCTTTGACAGTTTAGCTAAATAATTAATCAGTTACAGATAAAGTAGAATCCCAGATAATTATGAAAGGTTATGAAAGGTACATTTATGCTACAACTTACATATCTAATTGACCATGTGTTAATTTAAGATACATCATAATAGCAACACTATGAATTTAAATTAAATTAAAATTAAAATCAAATCAGTTCACTTATATAGCCTATATATATATATATATTTATATATATTGAAGATGTCTAAAATGTACACCTATACATTAAAAATAAATACAAATAAATAAATAAATACATTTAAGATTGATGTGATTAATTTAAATTTCATATAAAATTTCCTTCCATTTTGATTACACATAAAAAATTTAAAAAAATGAATGCAATGCATGTTTACAATATTGAACTGAATAATAACCTAATGAATTACAATAAGCACTATCAACAACATGCCAGTTGGGACCTTCTGCCCTAATTCTAATTTTATCTTTTCACTTTAAAATAAAAAGCAATCTAACAAAATGAATGTGCCCACAAAATCTTTGATATTCAACATAATACAGTGTCACAGATCACTATTTTCCAGAGACACAAAATTAGATAAATTAAACTCAAAACAGTTTCAACGGACTCATTTTCAGATGAAATAACAAAATGAAGGAGACCATAGTCATTCACCAAATTTGCGATTCAGTTGGAAACAAAAAGTCATTTAGAGGTCTTTTTTATGGCTGTAACAGCACCACTATATGTTAACTTCGGTATGTATTACATCAGATTATTTAGTTTCACTCGTTTTCAGTGTCTCAGGTGCATTCACTTCAGGCTTGTGTCATGGTCATTGCAACATTTCCACTTTCAACAGCTGTGGAAAAAGAAGTAAACATGATGATTGAATGTTTAAAACTAAAGTCTAATTAAAAAAAAAAGGAATAGTTCACCCAAAGGTTTGCTGAAAATGTACTCACTTTTCCCCCCTTACAAACATGCAGTTTTTTCCACTTCACAAAATGTTAAATGATTGACTGGATTAATTATGTTTTTATCAGCTGTTTGAACTCTCATTCTGACAACACTGATTCACTGCAGAGGATTCTTTGGTGAGCAAGCGATGCAAAATTTCTCCAAATCCGTTCCAATGAAGAAACAAACTCATCTACATCTTGGGTGACCTAAGGGCGAGTAAACTTTCAGCAAATTCTTATTTTTGGGTGAACTATTCCTTATGGTGCCATAATCATGTTACCTTCATCTGATGCCTCAACAGGTTTAGCTTTCTCCACAGCATCCTGCATCATTTCCACGACAATAACTTCTTCTCCAGCCTCTGTTGCACCTGTAGCCTGTAATGAGTCCTCCAGGTCTGCTGCTGATGCTGTGAGATCTGCATGTTCTGTTTCTGTGGCAGTTGGCTCATGACACAACGCTTTACATTCTTCCATTTTCTGACCTACGTCCTCGACTGTTTCTGATGTCAACTCTGCAGCTCCAGAGACAGTGTCATCTTCTGAGAGCATCACCACAGGGCTTGTTGAGTCTTCCAATTCCAAAATGTTCTCCGTCTCTGTAACAAGGGCCTCCTCTGATGAAGCAAGGCTTTCAACATTAACTTCAGGCACAGCAGGGCTGTCTGCCTCAGACTTGACATGGTCATCTGCCACAACAAGTTTCTTCTACTGCATGACGTGATGATGGCAGTTCCTCCAGTTCTTTTCCTTCTGTTTTCAGATTCAAATCCCTGTAATGAGTCCTCCAGGTCTGCTGCTGATGCTGTGAGATCTGCATGTTCTGTTTCTGTGGCAGTTGGCTCATGACACAACGCTTTACATTCTTCCATTTTCTGACCTACGTCCTCGACTGTTTCTGATGTCAACTCTGCAGCTCCAGAGACAGTGTCATCTTCTGAGAGCATCACCACAGGGCTTGTTGAGTCTTCCAATTCCAAAATGTTCTCCGTCTCTGTAACAAGGGCCTCCTCTGATGAAGCAAGGCTTTCAACATTAACTTCAGGCACAGCAGGGCTGTCTGCCTCAGACTTGACATGGTCATCTGCCACAAGTTTCTTCTACTGCATGACGTGATGATGGCAGTTCCTCCAGTTCTTTTCCTTCTGTTTTCAGATTCAATCTACATATCATGGCCTCCTCAACCACAGCTCCCTCAGGCACTTCTGCTGGGACCTCTGCTTTAACATCAGCAACCTCCAGCCCATTGAGGGTCTCCATAGAATTGTTTTCCTCAGCCAATCTCACTGCGGCCACCAGGTGCTGATCACCGACTGAAGCAGCTGCAATCTCTGCTGTAGATCCAGCCAGGACTTTCACAGTGCTCAGTAGGTCAGACATTGGGATAACTGCAACAAGATTAGTTTATTACAGAAACATGTAGGTAAATATGCTATAAATAGGCCCACAGAATCAATGTTTATTTTAGCATTTTCTAATATTTATTTTTCTTTGATGGTAGAAACCTTGAAATCCCACTTGGAGAACCAATAACATTAGTTAATGAGTGTTACTGTACTTTTACAGTAACTGTTACTGAGTGTTACTGTAGATTATATTGCAGTAAAAAAAGAAACATTACATTACAAATGAAAGCATAGTGGGGTCAAAAAATTCCCTCACAAAATTGTGCTAAGTGAAGCTCATTAGAACTTCCTTTTCCATCCGTTTCTGAGAACCTTGCACTTGGAGATTTATATCTCAATATCATGTTCCTGACTTTTGTTTGCGATATATGGCAATGTATCTACAATACATATAGCAGCAGGGGGCAGCCGAGTGCCATTTGGTGATGGGCACACATAGGACATTGCATGGAAATATCTCACCATTTTCAAAGCTAGATTTGAAGGTGGTACCATTGGGAATCTTCTTAAACCACCATAAGTGGCATAAACCTCTAAGATTAGTGAGCAAACAACCAACACACATTAGAGAGATTTCCTCAGATTAACTGTAAGAGATGCCTAAAGTCATTATAATCAAGCCAGTATGCAAACTAAAATGGACTTTAAGAGCAACAATTGGGATGCATTTGCCAGCATAAGGAAGTGGGGTTTAATCTGTATTTACAGATACATGGAAACATTTAAAGCGGACGATCAAAACTAAGCGAAGCATCCTGATCGAAAACAACACAGGAAGGAGCTATTCTACAAATGCACACAATATACAGAAATACGAAATATAATGACAATTTGTTTATTATTTTTCATTTCATTTACAGTTTGTGACGTAAAGGGATCATTGAAAACGGCACTGAATTCAGACTCAAAAATAATAATATTTTAAGTACTTTATTTAAGGAATACAAATATTTTGTCAGTTTTAAAAACTGCAATCAGCAATCAAAAGTTCTGAGTTGGTTAAGTCTAAATTCAAAAAGCAGCATCGAGATTAAGAGCAAATGTTTCCAATGTCAGTATTATGATATGTGACACTGCATTAAGTTTCCTTATGATAGTTCACATTTTAAGTGATATTTAAGCTAATTATAAAAAAGGCACAATGTGTGTCCTCCATCCCTATAACTGAGAGACAACATGCACAGGTAAAAAAATGGCAAGTCATTAAAAAAGAAAACAAAAGATCTCTTATATTGCTTATAAGGCCACAATGGCTTGGAATGCATGTGTATTAATACAATGTATTAAATATAAATTTAGAAGAATTATATATAAAGGTATTCATGTCTATCCACTCTCTTTTTAATCTAAGTGCGGATACAGTCATTTTGAACTTTTGCTTCTGGTGTCAGCCATTTCCAGTTATTTTAGCTGCACAAAACAGTCTGTTATTCTGCTTGTTGCTGCAAACTGGCATTTGTTATATTATTTTAATTAGTTTTAGTTTATTGCAAATTGTTATTCTACTGGTTATTTAATTAAAGTAGCTAATAAATTGAAAGTCTCATACATTCACAGGCTGAATTTAAACTTTGTCAGGTTAAACATGAAAAGGTTTTGTCAAGACATCATTTAAAGTTTGTCTTGATGGGCCTTCTTTTAGTTAAAATTAGTTATTGCACGTACATAAATTGCTTCGATTTTCTGTTCATTTTAATACTTCCTTAAAAAAAAATCACAATTCTGAATGCTGTTTACTATCACAATTCAAATTCAACTAAAATCTTTTTATTTTGGAATTTAAAAAGCATTTTCAATTCAGTTCTGAATGACACACAACCCTAGTACATATCCATAAAATGTTAGCATGTTCTTGTTGCCAGTAAACATCATTGTCAATATGAAGTTACTTAAGAAAAATGCCTCCCTGCACACGTATGAGACACAAACCCCCGGTTTCACAGACAAGGCTTAAGCCTAGTCCCAGACTAAAATGTAAATCTGAGCTGTGTCAACTGAAAGAAACTTGCACTGACTGATCTTAAAATATATCAGCGCCTTTGTTTTGTCCCAAGATGCTCACCAGTAATGTGTTTTCTAAGGCATGTTTATGAAAAATTAACCTAATTGAACTATGGCCTAATCCTGGTTTAGTCTAATCCGTCTGTGAAACCAGGCCAAAATGTTATAATGTGGGTACACAGTAACAAGTATTACAGCAGGCACATACACTGGGGGTGAAGGAGGAGAGATTACAAAACTTTATATGTGATTTAAATTAGATATTCAAGTGTCAAAACACAGGCTGGAATAAAATTTTAAAAAAGTCCATGTTTTGTTTGTTTAAATCCTCAATACTTATTTTTGGACTTCCTCAACCTCTCCTCCTCCTCACCCGTGAAATTAACACCCTGTGGAGCTCACAATTTGAAAAGGGACACTTCTTTCTGTTCAGATGACACAGTCAATTAGTTAAAAGGAGCACAAAAATGGGAGTCTCTAACAACTTAATGGAGCGTTCCAAGGTGGGTTGGGAAGAATCACATATCTAGACAGCTGGGGACTCAGGCTGCTTCCTCAGCAGAAGATGCCTCACCGATTGTTTCAGCAATGGGAGCAGCAGCCTCAGCAGTGACATCCTCAACAACAGGTGCATCAGCTGCTACTGCTTCTACAATCGCAGTTGCTGCCTCCACAGGTTCTGGGGTCTGTTCAGCCTCTGCATTAATCACCTCAGCTGCTGTGGTTTCCACAACCGCAGCTGCTTCTGCTACCGAGGCTACCGAGGCCACTGCTCCTACATGGAATACAGTAAGCAGGACTTCAAGAAAAGGCAACATGATCCAAAGAAAACCCAAGATCAAGTGTGATTAAAAAGTTAAAGCAGACTTAGGAAATGTGTTCTTATACTGAATAAAGAGGGTTAGCATTATAACTAAATAAAGAGGGTTAGGGTTAACAAGTGTTACTAATTCCATCTGTCATTAATAGAACAACATTAGAGAGATTATGAGAACAGGATGATGTACAAATAGATAGCAAAAACCATTCATTCAGATTAGACTTCAAAGAATCTAAGCTCTTAAGAGTTAGCATTAGAAATGTATTGTTCATTTATTAATACTTCTGAATTAGTCAGTTTAGTTTTTAAAGAACTTGCATGGAAGCTTGATTGGCTCAAGACAATGTAGACCCATCACCAAGCCAACATTGAACAAATAAAAACACACAAACGTGCAAGATTAAATGATTGATTTACCCCAAAATTAAAATTTTGCATTATTTTATAATTCCAAGTTATTCTGAAGACATACGATGTATTTTTGTGGCAAACAAAACAAAATAAATTTTTTGTGTTCCTTTCAAGTAAGACAATCATATGGGCTTGGAATGACATTTTGGGTGAATTACTGCTTTAATAACAAATGGTTATTACACACAATATCATACGTATTGAACCTTACCATTCAGTTCAAAACTTTCGGATCAGTACGATTTTTTAATACTTCTGAAAGAAGTCTCTTAATATGCTCACCAACGCTGTATTTATTTGTTAGAAAAATAATGGTAATATTATGAAATATTATTACAATGCAAAATGACTGTTTTTTATTTTATTTTAAAATGTAATTATAGGTGCAGTATGTAATATTGACACTTTTGGTCAATTTCATGCATTTTTTGCTGAATAAAACGTATAATTGTTTTTCTCCAAAAAAAACACGTTTGAATAGTAGTGTAATTAAATGTAAAAGTCACTCTGATTAAAGCACTTTTACCAAGTTCAAAGTTCCACTGATGTCATCAATCATCACTAGCTTGCTATTTTTTCTATTCTATCTACTTGGTTTTCTTTGTTTGTGTGTGTATATGTGTGTGTGTGTATAATATATAAATATATACAGTGGTGTGAGAAAGTGTTGGCCCCCTTCCTGATTTCTTCTTTTTTTTGCATGTTTGTCACTCTTTAATGTA